CTCATTTTGATCTTGATGTTTATTTCTCCACTCAAGTGCCCTAGTTCCAGTTCTGTATAACTTACTTCGGTTGGCTCGGCCGTTATTGTTCCCTTTCTTCCGCACAATGGGTGGTTTGGGACTCGCTCGCACCTTTAGACTACCTTGCTCGACAGGTACCGTATCATACTCTTACTTTGCAAGCATGCCGGCACCAGCCGGTAGTGCTGTGTGAATCACTTGTACTACCCTAGCCACAGACTGACGATATCGTAGACCTCTCTCCTCGCGTAACGGTGGGTACTGTACGAGTACTCGTACTCGACTACCGAAAAGCAATTCCGTGGAAAAACAAACAGCATTTCGCTGCCTCAAGTCGATCAATACCGTACAGAGCTCTTTAATTTACCAATCGGGGATGTCGGGCGGTTGAACGAAAAAAAGGAAAGTGGGACTCCCAGGTTCCCGTTTAATACAGTGCGGTACTGCGCTTTTGATTGGTTATTTGCAGGGTTCATTTGCGCATGCCATGCTTGGCTGTATTGCGCCCGACCATTACCTCCTCATTTGAGCCGCAGCCGGATGGGTCAATTGAATACCGTAACAAGCAATCCGTTACTCCCCACCTTGGTGAAGTGGTCGATTATGGGCCGGGAGGGGGGTTTACAGTGCTTCCACCGCCACTCTAAGCTTGCCGTGACAGTGGAACACCCTCTCCAACCTCTCCGCACCCACATTCCTGTATGATGTGAGATCGACAAACTGTGTTGATATCGGACCGGTGATTACCGGTATTTTGATCATGATTCCGTTGACTCTATCCCTGCAGGCGTGGGTGTGGGCGGTCCGGGATGTGATTGATGGGAAGTTGGAGAGACACCCACGAGGTGAAATGAAAGGTCTTAATGGACGCAGCAGGCAGCCTGACCCAAAGCCCCTGCGGCTCATGTACCGCATTAGTACCCTTGTTGCTCTACTTGAGTACTAGTACTTGTACCCTACTCTACGAGCACTCGCGCGGCCGGGTTGAAGCTGGACGCCTTGATCTAGCAGTGATCACCAAACGAATACGAATGTACGAGTGCTGCTGATAGATATGTCTGTCACGTGGAGTAGGATAGCCGGAACCCTGCGGTGCGCTTGGCTATCATACTTCTCGTGGTACAAGTAGATATCCATCGGCCGCACTTGTAGTGTTGGAGTGAGAAGAAATATTATGTAACTTTCTGCCAGAGAAAGAATTCACAGTTATCAAAGTGATATTGAGTTTTAGTATTGACACTTTATTCTCTACTATTAATTTTCCACTTGAGCCTTTTTATCCTTCATCAACTGTTTTAACCCACAGGGTGTGTTTACACATGTGGTACTTGGGATTGTGGTCAACACAATTACTTTTACAACGGATAAAAGTGTCGGGAAGTAACCAATTCATATATGATATATTTCGGAGAGCGATAATTTTAGGCTTGAAAGGATCTCATCATAATATGGGAGTATACAAGAGAAGCATCACTTTCAAACAGCTATCGGTAAAGGAAACCAAGGGCAAGCGAGCAGCAAGAATTGGATCAATAACAAGTACTGCTCCTGATTACCTAGAAATTCTAGAAGGTTACTGGCAATAATGATAATATTGAGTAATTTAATAAATAAGTAAAGTGACTAGTTGACAAAGGTGTAAATGGAGAAAACTAGAGCAGGTATGTTAAGTAGAGTAGTTAAAGTTTATGAGTAAAGGTAGGGTCAAGAGAATCTCTTTATTGGAAAGGGGCCCTATGTACTCGTACTAGGCCTTATCCTTGGGTTGGATCCTCATGTGGGAGGATGGGGGCTCCGTCCCTGTATCTGGCCGGAGACATAGCCCGGCAGCTCGAGTGGTAGATATGTATTACCGGTATGGTGAGGGATGAGCTCGCCGTAGTGTATGATACTTGCACGATACTTGAGTGAGGCGAGGAGTTCCATAGTCCTGCGCCCTTGGGAAACTTGGCTTACCAAAGCGGTGGGATCCCCCCGTGCTACAGTGCGTTGTACAAGTATCTGCAATCACGGACATGTACGGTACAGTACACCCACACCAGAGGCAGACCGTGGTATGCATCGCGATTGGAGCCAAAGGGGGGAAAGGAAATCTGTCCATCAATCCACCTCCATTTGCTTCTCCCCATTTGAGCGCACAGGGAGATGCTCTGTACCTTGGGAGCGACCTCTGCAAGAGAGATATTACCCACGCAGCGCCCACTATGCCCGTACAGTCTCTTCTTCCTGGAAGCTGGGTAGCTCACTGTAGGAGGGTAAATTACAGAGCCCCCCCCAACAACCGTGGGGCTGGTTGGTCGGTGAATCTGGCAGAAGTAGTGATACCGGCACATAGATCGATTAATGTTTCCGCGCGGTCGGACACGGTATGCTGCCAGAACCGGGAGCAATGACGTGCTCGTTGGTGGAACAGAGTTCAACAGACAACATTGCTTCGCTTCGGGTGCCAAGTTTTGGTAGATTTATCATGCATGCAACCCCCCACACTTGGCATTCCTAATTTATCGCTGACTGCCCCCCAGCCTTGCAACAACAAACACCCTCCAATTACCCCCGCCACTACCATCCCGGATCTGAAAGGGAACGATCAATTGGGCTCCGCTGTTATTACGGTTAGAGTTTTGGTGAATTATATTCCGGTTGGGATTGTTAGCGGGAAACGTGTTTGTGGGGGATTCCGGGTGGAGTGGTAAACAAGATTTTGGCTGGAAGAGTATGGAGCTTGGGTCCGATTCTTTCCCAATTTCCTCTGTTGGGGGGTGTTTCTGCCCACTCGCGCCCCGTGAAAATATCCCAGCGCCTTGGACTGGGAGGGCTTTGCGAAATCCGGGGCGATTTGGGTATTTAAAGATTTACGGGGGCCATGGTCTGGCTTTCTTTTTCTCTCAAGATAGAGGTTCCACGTGCGATATTTAGCGTTGTAAGGGTTATCATTGCCGGCCACAAGCATCGCTCGAGCGGGAACCGGTATTCACCGGGTTTACTTTTCTTACGCTCGCACGTAGGATTTCTTAGGGTTCAAGCGCTCCATTCAAGAATGTCAGCCCGCTGCCGAATACGCTATCAGCCACGATAATGGTAGTCTGGCTGTTCTCCTATCCTCAGCTCTCCCAACCCCCAGAGCTGGGAGGTTGAGTGTCACAACCCCCTTACCACGATAATAATTACTGAAACTTTCCTGCTCCAACAACGTATCATAACCAGTCATATCACGCCTTACACCCGAGAACATGCGCCTTCTGTAAGCCCCCACTTCCCCCCCCCTCCTCCCCTCCCTCCTCGCCGTCTACCTGGAACTGAACACATCTGCATGTCGATATCAACCGACCTCGTCTAAATCTGCGGGGAGAAGGTCTAGCTTACAATACCGAGATCGATAGTCAGATACATGGGCGAGAAGCACACAAACGCTAGGCCCGGGACTCGGTCGGGGCTCACGCACGCGCGGATTACCAGCTGTAAACCAGCTTAACCTGTGCTCGGGCACACCCCCTTCTCACCCACTACAGTATGGCACCTGTAATGCCCACCCCATGCTGGGCCAGCCTGAGCAACCAACCGCAAAAACCAACAAAAACCAACAGTTTCAAGGCCTACTAGGTAGCATACAGTGCCCCGATCCCGCGCTCGAGCACTCCCGGACCAGATAGGGTTATCACCGTCCGTGTGTTCAATACACACTAAAGCGCAGTACAGTGCAGCACGGTATATCAAAGAAGTATTGCGTGATAGTGACCTAGTATTTCAACATGCTTTTCCCTTTCTTTTCACAACTTATCTCCGCACTTTGGCTGGTGATGGGGAGGCTTTACGCCACAGAAACAAGCTATGTAGGAACCCTGCTTCTTGCCTTTGATTGACATTTTCTCCGAGAGGGGTTGAGGGGAGTGGGATTTGTGCTTTTGGAAATGAGGGGGTGATCGAGCTTGCTTTTGTTTTTTTTGTTCTTCTTTTCCTTGTTTGTTATTTGGGAGGGGTTCCGGTGGGCAAAG